AGTTAGCATAATCTGGGGGAATATCAAGAAAAATAATTTATCTTTTGCTGTATCTATTAATAGTAACGGCCATTTGTGGACCAAAGCAGCATTGGGCCCTCAAGACAAGAATAAAGAATTCTACTGGCAAGTGGAGAACAGAATTCAAGTATATGGAATACAATGCCTTATCATCCCCTTTGCAAAAACAGTATTTTGGCCACTTCTGGGTTGGCATCAGAGGCAGAGGAAGTAAAAAAAAAAATTTTCATGATCTAAGGAATGAAAAGTAAAACAGAAGAGACTGGTTAGGAGAAGCAGTTCCCTGAAATGCACTTTTTAAATGAGAGCTTGACAGTCTAGAGAGATGCTGACCAAGAAATAAATGTTTGGGTATTTCACATTATGAAGGAATAAAGTAGACATGGAGTTGAGCATCAAGTTCTGAAATGCCACATCTGAGATGCTGCCAGTGCATCCAGAGAGTATAACATGGAGGAGAAGAGAAAGAGGAGAAGGGGAGGAGAGGAGGAAGAAGAAGGAAAGGAGGAAGGGAAGAGGGGGAGAAGAGGGGAAGAGGGGGAGAACAGGAGACAAGAAGACTCATCTTACCCAGAAATTATAAAGTTATGAAAAATAATTCCAAAATCTAGTATACTATGACATTAGGACCCTGGTTATAAAGAAAAGCAGAATGAAGTCTCTACAATGTCAAAAGCCTATTTCTGTATCAACAGCCTTGCAGACAGAGGCTTCTCAAAAGACAGACAGATCCTTGCATTCACTGACCCGTCATCATGTTTGTATTTTTTTCCAAGAAAAAATAAATCATTTACTCAAGAGTTTCAAGGTAGAAAGTCTTTTTTGTTTCATTGTGCCATATATGTCTACAGAGGATAGTCTTCAGAACAAACATTGTATTTCATCAGTCTTCTAAGCCTCTTCTCATCATTTAAGACACTAATTTAGTCAATCTCCATTACCAGATAGTATATTTTCAGTTGTCTGCACTTTCCTAACATCCCCTTAACTGAAAAAAGGGAGGGGCAAGGGAGGGAGGAAGGGATACGTGTTAATGCAGTTGGTTCCATTGTTCTTTGCTTTTTCAGATAATCTTTATATAAATCTGGCAGAAAATTAACTTGTAAAGTCACAACTTTACAAGTTAATTTTCTGAGATGCTTCACAAATAATCAGTCCTCAAATTAACACTTATCCTTGCAATAAGATAATGAAACAGGACACCTCAACCTTGCTCTAAGATAAGCTCCTGCAGCATCAGCTTCCCAAGGTCCCTTATGGCCGTTTTGAACTCCAGAAAGAGAGAAATCTAGTGGCATAAGAATATTAAGGAGGTATTGAAAATATACTAGATTCCTAATAGTGGTAATCTGATAATTCATCCCTGGGTTAAGCATTAAAAACTAGTTATGATCTCTGTCTCTAAGGACTTAGGGTTAGAAGTTATGAAATTATGTTCTTAGTCACATCACCTACATCAGGTGTAAAAGTATCTTGCATCTGTATTACTCAGGATTACAGATGGAATAACTTCTATTGCTTGCATTTCAAAGAAGGCCTCCAAAAGGCCAACTAAAATGCAATAATGTAATCATTAAATGCTGCCAGACTTTGACATTAGGAGACTTGGAACTGAGTTCTGAGTAAACTTAACAAAGACATTTAACTCAAGCCTCTGTTTTCCTATCTGTGTAATGGGAAAATTAACAAATTCTACCACATTGGGCTGCTGTGAACCCTAGTTAAAACAATGTACTCAAAAATGCTTTGAAACCATAAAGGTATGTGTGCCAGTATGAGAGTAAGCCACTGTGTAGTTTAAGGAATATTAGGACCCCTGTTAGAGAAATCCATGCCCTGGATTTGCCCAAGCATCGGGGAAGTACCTCTCTTGCTTTTGCCTAGCTACCTTTCACCAACCTGTCCTCACCTTTCTTACTTTTGAGCTTCTTTGAACTCTTCCTTTAGATTTCAATGTATTCATTTTTTTCCTGTTATGACATCTGTGATTTGTCTTGTGCAGTACTAAGTTGGAGGCAATGAAACTTTGCCACTCTTTAGCCAAGATGATAGGTTAAAACCTTTCATTTCAGTAAATTTCAAAGGCTAGATAGATCCTTTTAAAGGGGGGGGGTCTCAGGTTCTGGGCATACTTCTTGAGACATTCTTATTTTTTCTCTCAGCACACACACACACACAGACTCACTCACTCATTCACAGTTAAGCCTCTTCTATCCAAAGACAGGGAAGAAATAAGAATAATAATCCATTCTAAGTTGTTTCAGTTGTTTCAATTTCAATAGCTACATAAAAAAATACACCTGTATCATTGAGCATGGGTTAGTGCTTCTGGGGGCACATTCCTTAGAGGACTTGCCAAGGGTGTAAATACTTGATTCTGTTTCAGCTACATGACTATTTGGTGACTTCACTGAAATGTGCACAATTCAGTTTTAGCCTGGATTACTTCAGATGACCTTTGAAAAGGTTTTATCTTATAGAATAGGTGGCTGACTTGTTTTAACCTGTTAGGATTTGGGGTACTTTTCACTCTATTTAAAGTAAAATTTACTAGAAGAAAAGAGGTGTGTATTAATACTAGGTATGTTGATTTTGGTTTGGCTTCTTTCAGTTGGGCTTTCTGAATATTGAGATATTCTGAATGTGGAGCTCTTCAGATCTAAACTCATTATTTCCTGTATCAAAGAAGAAATAAAATCAAAGTACTCTCGTTGCCTGTTTTCTAAAAGTTCAGAAAAAAGTGCCAGTTCAGACTGTTCATAATGAGGGAGAACCATCACCTGCCTTATGATAACTAGACTCAGTACTTACCTATTTCTTCCTTTGGGGGAAAATTCTACATGCTACAAGCCACCATATGTACAAACTACACAGTGAGTTGGGTCAGTTCTCCCACAGTCTTTGAGGTGAATCACAAGAGTCCAGCCATTATCATCCTTGAGTTACTTTGAATTGTTTTTTTTTCTTTTTTACATTTTGGGTGTAGTATTGGTGGTAGAATATATTATGATAGGGATCATCTCTACTTCTGTATTTATTTATTACTAGACCTCAACCACAGTTTCTTTTTCCCCTTCCTCATACCCTGCCTGCAAGATGTAAGGTGTGTAGTCATGCACTTTGAATTAATATATTAGAAACCTACAAATCTGTCTTTTACTTTTAAACCGGTGGATACTTATAATTCAAACTTTTACTAGGGTATTGAATAAATTTAGTCTTATTAGAAAAAAAAATACACCCGTATCAAAGATGAAATAAAAAGTAAATGTTATTAAAGTTTTGATTGCCTTGCCTCATATGCTTATTTGCTGAGAAGCAAATACCTCATATTGAGAGCTGGTTAAATCTTTCATAGAGAGTACAAAATAGATGTTTCCCATAACAATCTTATAAATAACATGTCATGTACATATTACCACAAACAAGCAACGCACAATTTTCATCAACTTGCAAGCATAACTCATGTTTCCTGCTGAAAAAGTACATTTGGGGAGTTGCTCAGTCACTAGTCATTCACCATAGCTGAATAATGTCTTCTGGTCCAAACCTTCAGAAAACTTGGGTGAGGAAACAGCGTTAAAGGCGATAGGAAGTAACTTAGAAGCAACATTGACCTAAGCCAGAATTCTGACTTCCAGACACACAAATTCCTGATAAACCACTCTAAGTGTTGAATAAATATCTGCACTAAGTGCTCACTAAGAAAGATCTGACAACGGGAATACAGCACCCATTCTCCCCCTTGTCAGAGCAAAGCGTCATAAAAAGTATTAAAAAAAAAAGTAGCTATGTAATTTCCATCATTCTCCTTCACTGTGCACAAGTCTCTTTCCTTCAGGCCCAAGAGAGGTTGAATGAGGTTCACCTGGCTATGAAAGGGAAGAAATTCCACTCACAGACCTTCCAACCCTGCAGGAGTCTGGAGGAAAATGTATTTGATACTTTGCCCACTTTTTTGGCCAAAGCCCACGCCTCTCACAATGGGACACCTTACAAACTCTCGAAGATAGCCTCCAACCATTCCTTGTAACCTTTCCAAAGTTAGTTGAGTGCAGACACTATCTGAGGTCACCTCCAGCTCCACCACACTCCAGCAGAACAGGAAGCCTGGGGAGCTGGGGACTAGTGTAGTGGCCCTCGCTGGGCGAAGCCTGAGCGCTGAGCTCACGTGGTACCTGGCTGTGGCACGTGGGGCTCAGACTTCAGGCGCAGGAGACAGGAGCAAGGATGCGCAGCGACTACGGTCGGGTGGGAAGGAGGGGAAAGACCAGGACATCCCGGGACCCTGGAGACCAGAAGCTGGGCGGGTCCAACTGCCGTTTCCGGGGGCGTTCGCAGGAAGACACAAGTTTGAATGGAGTTGCAACTTGGAAACACGTTTAGGTTTGTTTTTGGTGGGCAGATGCCTTGGAATCCAAGATTCCCCCAATCCCCTTGTAGCCTGGAATCCACACTTAAAATTCCTGGCAAAAGAAGGAGCAAAGGTATCCCGAGGTAGCGATGCCATTCCCACCCACCTTTTGGGGGAACTCTGTCCACTTGGTATTAGAAGAACACTGGGAAACCGCACCCGGGAACAGAGGAGGCGTTGTCCCCTGTAGGTGTATGAAGCCGGCTGAGTGCCGGCATTTGAAACCTACAGCGGCCAGCTGCATTCATGACTTGTTTGTTTTGCTGGGGGAGCGGGGAGGGATCAAAAAAAAAACTCTGGGACGTTTTACTCAAGCTAGGGAACGGGACGCCAGCTTGGCATTGGATCCCACTAGCACAGAAGTCCAGTCCACTCGGGAGGCGGCGGCTGCCACTTAGGGCTGGGGAGGGGAAGTAAGGCGGGGGCGGGGAGGGGGTGGCGGCGGGGAGGAGAAGGAGGGGCCGCGAGGGAGCGAAGGAAACAGGTGAGCTCCCACCGCCACCCATCGGAAATCCTGCGCGGCGATCCCTGGCGCGCCACTGTCCCAACTTGGAGAGGCACTTACCGGCTTTGCACGGGTCCTTGTAATCTAGAGTCTCTGTTTTATCCTCTTCGTTCCCATCAAAAGTGTAATCATAATCGAGGCCAGCGCAGACCCACGGATTCCCGTAGTAAAAGATCCCCGAGGCCACCAGCCACAACAGCATCCTCGGGGAAAGCGCTTCCAACCCCATCCTCCTCAAAGGAGGGGACAGGACCGGGAGGGAAGGCGGCCGCGATCCGCGCTGATGAGCGGGGCTTCGGGACACCGGTGCTCTTCTCCCCCACTGGGAGGCTTCTTGGCCGGACCAGGGTGTTCAGGTGTCCGGCGACATGCGGATGCCTTCGGGACAGCAGGGAGGGCAAGCACTGCCCGTTACCCCGAGTTGTAGGGAGAGGTTGTCAGGAGGCCCGCGGGTGGGCGGAGGGCAGGTAGGGAGCTCGGCTCCCGAGGCGGGCGGCAGCGGGCAAAGTCGGCGCTCGCAGCCGGCCAGGTCGTCCCTGTGGCGGCCGTGGTGTGCGAAGCGGCGCCCCGCGGGCTCAGCTGCCCCCCGAGCTCGGGTTCCCGGGCCGGGTCCCCGCCGCTGTCAGGACCCCGCGGCCGAGCGCGAGCCGCCGCCGCCTGCGCCCGCCGCCGCCGCCGCCGCTCCAGGAAGATGAATCCGGTCTGCACATCAGCACATCTGAACTGAAAGGGGAGACCGAAGAAGGGGGTGGGGGCCAGGCATTTCCACGCCGGGAGACCTTAAAAGCTTGCAGAAGCCAGTGAAGCCACTGACTGCCAGGAAAGCCAACGTGTGAGGATTTGGGGATGCGCTGTTGGCCTTTTTGCCCCCGCCAGGCTGTCTTTTTACCCTCTTCCTAACTTGAAAAAAAAAAAAAAATCTTCGCAGCATCTAACCCAATCACTTGCATCCTGCTTACTTATTCATACAGTCTGGGTCAGGATCCCGGCCACAGCCTCCTCTCTGACTTCTTTTGATAGTCTTATACAAATAAACAGACAGGAGCGCGCGGACAATTCCATTTATATTTTATTGAAGATAAAAATGAATCTATTATGTATCTGCGTCCTCCAACAGCAATTAATAGATGATGTACGTGTCAGCTAAGAGTGCCAGACCTGGGGTAGCGTGAGGGATCGTGACAATTTAGCTGCAGATCTCTCCCCCCACCTCCCACCCCCAAATAAACAGCCAGTGTGTTTATTTCCTTTGCTGCTGTTTTAACCTTCATGCAGCTCAGAAATGGAGGAAAAGTGAGCCTTCGCGATAATAGGTAAGAAAACAGACCACTTTAAAAGTCTCCTAACCAACAAAGTTTTGCCAAGAACTAAGATCCTTAGAACTGCACTGCAAAAAAATATTAATAATCCAAAATCGAGCTACAGATTTCAGCAGCAGGAAACCTCGGGGAAAGGCTGGCGCTATGGCTCACGTGGGCGCAGTAAGGGAAGTTGGATGAAACACTCGGGAAACAAATTTTTTGTGACACTTCTGGCGCCCTTGCCCAGAGTTGCTCCGTATCCTTCTCCTTAGGCTTCACTTGTTTTACTTCTTCTGAGGACAGTGTGGAAAACCTGGCAGCGGATCAGCGAGGTAGACCACAGTCAGCCAAGCAGACTCAAAGCAAATACAGGCTGTGGGAAATTGGGAAGGGGAAAAAATTAAAAAATCAGAGGAAATCTCTGCAAAACCCCTGGTGTGAGCAATTCCGAGGTTTCCCCACATCTGCAAGCAGTTTCCAAAATAGGTGAGAGGACTTCTCCCCCAAGCTTTCCAGGGACTGACTGGTGATCCATCTGCACTTTCCTTTTCCAACTCAATCCTTAATTGTCACTTTAGCAGGAACTTGTAAAAAGTCTTCACTTTCCTTAACATCTTTATTTGACAAGCACTGCCCCTTTTCCCAGTTACCAGCAACTTACAAGGTCTCATTTAGAGAGAAGTAGAAAGATAAATGCACACACACACTCCTTCAACTGGAAGAACCAGTCAAAGGTTTGGTTTGGATTGGTTTGGAGATTTGACCAGGTTTTATGCTCCTTTAAAAAAAGCAAGAGACTTCTCTTGAAGAAGCATGCAGTATTTCAACTTAATAGGGAGACTAGGTGGAACTGAACTGGTTCAACGTTTTTAGGAAAACTGGGGTTTTCTGAGACCACCGCAATCATGAGCTCCCTCTACAGATCTGAAACTTTTAACCCCAGGATGCAAAGCAAACAGCAGATTTGTAAAAGCAGGTAAGGCACTGGTTTCGAAATCTCTTGCTGAGTCATTCTCAAATTCTTTTACCCATCCAAAAAATGTTTGCATAATTAATAACAGTGTGGTTCTACTGCAGGGCTAAACACGAATCTGTCCTACTTAGCCCAAGAGAGCTCAGAAAATGCAAAGTTCCTTTAGAGGATCCCTGCTCTTGAGACTCTGTTAGTGTCCCCACTCCCTATCCCAGACCCTGAAAGTGTTGCATGTTAGTTTAAAGGTCTTATGCATCTCCTTAGAGGATTTTATCTTATTAAGTTTTCAAGACTTAGTACCTGGAGCTTGCCTAAACGTCATTTACTTTTGCAGGAATGAATTTTCATTCATTTCTTCTGGGGAAAAAAAAATGGTACCATAAGGACATCTGCCTCACTATCTACTGATACCCATTATGTTTTCCCTACAGATTTATCATTGCTTACTTTTACAATTTTATAAATTTGTCATCCAGAGAGAGTGATGAACATATTAAAAGTTTAGATTAAAACATAGAGCTGTTTCTATATCGCTAAAATGCTCGCAGAAAATCTTTATTTATATCACAATATCCTAGGCCTCAATCCCTGATTTATTTTTAATTTTTTAAATGTTAACTCTAAGTTTATAATAATACAACACCATGTTTTAAACACCACTTATTTCTATGGTTGCAGTGACTACAAATTAAACAGAGATTGTGTCCTGTCCGTGAAAAAGCATCAATTCTGAAGAACAGGCATGTGACTACGACGTTGTATATTCCATCAGAGTGCAGCCACAGATATGTGTGGTACATGAATTCAACCTCAGGAGGACAGAAAGAAGTGGAATTCCCTCAGTGAGAAGTGCTGATGTGGTCCTGGCTGCTGACTGCTCTTAGCCACCATGGCACCTGCAAAAGGCCCTCACCACCCCCAGCAATATTGGGGCACATAACCACCCAACATAGCCAGATAAGAGGACAACTTCATGCCAATTGGTATTTTCTGTTTTTTGCCACAGTAATTAAATTTGTCCTGTAGATAATGCAGCTAGAAATGCCTATTTTCTAATGTAGTCAATTTGTGAAAAACCAGATGTGACTGTTTATGATATCAAGTAATACATGAACCTATTCCTTCATGTCCTTTATAAAAAATAACTCAAATAACAATAATTTCACTTAGGATAAATGAATGAAACATATTCATTCCTGCAAAGTTAGTGATGTCCAGGCAAATTAAAAGTTCAAACTCTTTCAAACTTTCATATGGAATAAAATACGAGTTTCCCTTCCTGACTTCTGATCTGATCTCACCACCTCCTCTGAACTAAAACCAAGTAGTGTGTAATACTACTTCATTGTCTCCTCTGAAATTATCTTATCGGTACATTAAAAACAGCATATATTAGCAATTTCTATTGTTTAGACCTTTAAAAGATCTTACTTTATATTAATGCAGTTGCATTTCTGAATGAAGTGGTATATATCTTAGTCAAAAACTTTTTTGTGAAGAGATGATTCTTTGGGCCTCAAAAGATTTTAATGTCTACATTTTCTTTTCTTTTTAAATTTTATACTATGACTTTTTTTTTTTTTCGTGTTACTGGGATTTGAACTCAGGGCCTCACATTTACTACACAGGTGCTCTACCACTTGGAGCCACTCCACCAGCCCTTATATTATGACATTTTATGTCACATTATTTTATGTGTCACCACTGCAGGATGCTCCCAAATCTTAATAAATAAGATGATCTTACATTCAAGCAAAATCTTTCCTTATTGTTATTTCCTAAGTCACAAATCTAGTGTCCCAAGGAAAAAAAATGAACAGATGTCAATATTTGCTTCACCATGAAAGTGTGAAAGAAAATTTTTCTTTGTCAAGGAAAAGATGTGCACCTCCCCACACCAGAAAAATGATCCTTCCTGATGCAATGGGTCCTGGATTTTGGTCTGAGTGGAAGCCACTAAACTAAGAGTACTTAGTTACTCCTTAATAGCTTGCCATACTCCTTTCCTCTCTACCATACCACCATTGTGAGGCACATAGATGCCCTGTGTTTCTGTGGCTTCATTTTATTCTGCTTACTCCATAGATTAAAAAACCGACACCAAAGCCTTTGATAAAATACAACATATGCCCAATGAAATGACAATAACCTAGTTTTTAAAATATAATAAAGTAGTATCAGCTTCTTATGAAAAACGAACACCTAAACTCCATAAGACCAGTTGTTCAGGTAAATCACTTGCTGATATTTTTGGGTCCTATTTTGAAGATAAAGAATAAGGATCAGAAGACTGAGTGATTCATGAATATATTATTGTCACCTCATATGCTCTAGCCTTCTACTGGCTCTTTTAGTTGCCACTCTTTGTAGTTCTACAGTTCTACTAACATTGCTGACAAGCACTGTACAGTGGAGACTCATGCATCTAACAATGGTCGATATCTCCTAGTTCTTACTGAGGCCCATTTTTCCTTTAAACTTCATTGCATTATATCCCTCTAACTCCCTGGATTTTATTCCAGTCAGAACTTGCTCTTGCATTCTAGTCCTTATCTCGTAGAGGATAGAAACCACATCTTCTCCATGCCATCCATCTCACAAAATAATCTACACATACCTGATGAGAAATAAACTTGTTTTTACTAACAAAAATTAAGTTGACTTCCAGCTCAGTAATATAAATAATACTCAGTTAGATTTTCCTCTCATTTAAAATATCTAACACTATAATATAAGTGAAAATTAATGTTAATGCATATAGTAAAAGCAGGGTTGTGGATAAGAAAATTTGTTTAAATCATTGTTATCTGAGTTGTTACATGTCTTTGGACACTTATTCTTTCTTAATTTTTTTTTTACCCTTAAAATAAAATGTTACCTTGGTGTGGTGGTAACAGGCTTGCGATGTCAGCACTGGAGAGGCTGAAACAAGAGAATCTTGAGTTCAAAAGGGCCTGGGCTACACAGTAAGTACAAGGCCAGCCTGAGCTATGTAGCAAGATCCTGTCTCATGAATTCAAGGGCTAGAGATGTAGCTCAGTGGAAGAGTGTTTGCCTCCTATGCATAAGGCCCTGATTTGATCTCTAGCGCTGAAAACAGACCAAAGTAAAATATTACCCTATATATTAGTCACCTTTCCATAAGTTTAACAAATACCTGAAATAATCAATTTATAAAGAGATTTATTTTAGCTCACTTTTGGAGTTTTTAATCACAGTTGGTTGGCCCTGTTGCTTTTTGGTCTGCGGTGAGACAGTACATCATGCTGGGGAATGTAGGAAGCACAAAGCCACTCACCTGATGGCTGAAAGTGAAAATGAGAAGGAAGAAGGGGCTGGAGTACCATTATCCTCTTTAGGGGAACATCCTGAATGATCTGAAAACCTCTCATGAGGCCCCACCTCTTAAAGGTTCCACCATCTCCCAATAGTGCCACACTGGGTACCAAACTTTTAACACATAGACCTTTGGAGGATACTTAAAATGAACTCTATATAGCACCTTGCATGGCTATTGTACAATACAAATATATCAAGTATTTAAATCACTTAGCGTGGAGCCT